TGGAAAATTAAGTTTTAAATCGAAGTTTTTGTAAATTAAATATTAAATTTTTCAAGAATTTTCAATTCCAAAATCATAATTTTTTCAAATTAAATTTTCAATTTCCATTCTCAGTATGGTAAATTAAGTTTTAAATAATTTTCAATTATCAGAATTTTGGTAAATTAAATTTTTAGAAATTTTCCTCAAGAGCAGAATTAAAAGTTGTAAATTTAATTCCAAAACAATTTGGATATAAATTAAATTTTCTAAATTTCAAACTGATAGATTAATTTTTAATCTAAATATTGAATTAAAAAAATCGTAGCCAGGTTCATTTCGTATGTATGTACATATGTATGTACTATGTACATATGAATGAATATTAACGAATATGAGTATAACTAAAACCATAAATTCGCTTTAAAATTTCAAAAATCAAAGCAAATTCCAGTAAAGAACGCAATTAAAAATACTTTTTAAGGAAAGCTGACTTTTGCAGCTTATTTTCAATCAAAAACAAAATATTACTGTATAAAAAAAAAAACCAAGTACCCTACAAAAAAAAAGTTATGTAAATTAATTGCCACTCACAGATGCCCCAAACGATTATTGGTTGGAAAGTAACTGGACTCCACGGCATGTAAAAAGTTTCGGGACAAATCCAATGTTTTCAAACGCGGTAAAGCTTCCAATGCCTCACTGCTGATGCGTTGTATGCGATTGTTAGCCAAATTCAGCTGCTTTAGCGCAGTGAGCCCAATGAAGACGGGAACACTTTCCAGCTGGTTGCGTTTCAAAGTGCTAAGTTGGTAAGTAAACGAGCGTGAATTGATGATGAATGGCGATGTGTGCAGCGCGAGGGAAAATTAGAAGAGAAATATAGAATAAGTAATTGCATAAATAACAAGATATGATATATTGTATACGTAGCATTCATGAAAGTCATGAAATTTATTTAATAGAAGCAAATACGTGACTGTGATATCACACATGTATGTATGTATATGGATATGTACATATATGAATATAAAACACAGATAGCGGATAATTAAAGTTTTTTGTGGGGCCAGACAATTTATTATGGTGAAATTTAATGCAAATTTTATAATACTTACAGTTGTATTAATTCCGTTAGATTGTTTATCTGCAGCACACTCGTATTGTTTAGTTTATTGCCCACTAAATCGCTGCCAAGTAAATAAAAAATATATATTATTTATTTTTGTGGCTTTAAAGAATTAAAATTGCTAATTATTGTAAAGATAAATTTTATTTTACATTTTCGCCAAGTCAGGGCAAAATTATCATTTAGTAGTTATACTAAAATCACAGATTGCTAATATGAGTATATGATATTTTAATTTTATTTCTTATAATATAACCTTAATAGGGTATATAAGGTTTGCGACGTAGATGGTAACATCGAAAAGGAAATGTCGGAGAACCGGTAAAAAAAATCTATGTATATGTATTTAAATATACGATATACATATGTATGTATATCGATCTGAAATTCTGCACACATTTTTTTCTCCCCAAGAACCAGCTTATTTGTCGGAATCGACGAATCGGACCACTTTGCAGATCAAAACCGAGTTCTTGTATGAAAAACTTTTTTATTTGAGAAGATAGCATTACGAAATTTGGCATAAGTTATTTCCCAAGAAATTGCTACAATCTCCAAACGTATTGTTCAGATCGGACCACTACAGCATATAGCTGTCATACAAACTGATCGATGAAAATCAAGACCTTGTATGAAAAAAATGTTTATTTGTGAAGATATCATCACAATATTTGGCATGGATTATTGCACAAGAAAATGCTACGATCTCCAAAAACACTGTTCCAATCGGATCACTATACCACAGAGTTATCAAACAAACTGGCTGCACTTGCAACTTAGATGTAGCCGAAATTAATTTTTTTTATAAATTTTTAGTATAACAACATTTTATCGATTTAGCATATGGTTTTCTTCAGCACTTACAGTCTTTGTACGTAGCCTGGCAAAGTGGGTACACGAACCAAAAGTTTATCGTCACAATCGAAATATGCATCCAGGCATTTGCATTCTTTTGGACATGCGGATGTTGCGGCTACACCAAATAAACGCCCACCACCGTTACTATCATTGGCAATACCGCTAACGGCTCTGCTACTCACTGCAGCCGCTTGCGCTTTTACTGCCTTCTCATAGCGTTGACCATCATCGGCCACAAAACCAGCTGTCTCCAATGACGTATCACCATTATCCACCTCAATGTCGGTTAGAAAATGTTTGGGCACTAATCCTGCAGTTAACGCGGTCGCTATTGCGGCATCTTCGCCCGCAACGCCAACTTCTAGACCAACGCTGCTGCCGCCGCCCCCAGTCATTGCCACGTTGCCATTGTTGCCTTGTCGATTTTTTGTAAGCATCGCAAATAATTGTTGCTGTTGTAATTGTCGTTGTTGTTGCAGCGCGGATAGTGGCGACGAGGCGGGCACGGCGGCTGCTGCAGCTGTATTCATGTGACCAATTAGCGACACGGGTGCGAGCAACACAAACATTGTTATTGTCATACTGTTGCCGCAGTTCAATATGCAGGTTGTTGTAGTTGTTGTCGCTGTTGTCAGCGCTGCTATCATAATTGCAGTGCTAGTCGTGACGCTTGAGTTTGTAGTTGTTGTCAGTGCGGCTGCTGCTAGCGTTATCAACAAAGCAACTGCAGCGACAATTAGTAGTAGTCGATTGATTTTATGCAAATTACAATAATTAGCGCTGTTATTTTCATGTTTTATTTGCGCTGCAATTGGCATTTTGCTCCTTCGTCGTCGCCTTGCAAAATTTGCGTGCCAATCACTACTGCTGCGTACAGAGCTGCTATCGCTATTGTTGTTTTTGTTGTGGTTGTTGTGGTCAATTGTCGCGGTATTCGCTTCCGCTGTGCACCAGTGCACTGACGACTGCGTTAGCTTCGATCGCCGTTGAATTTGAACATTCTGATTTTCTTTTTGTTTTTGTTTGTGTTCTTGTTGCTGCAGCTGCATTACTGTGCAATCACAATCAAATGCGTTGAATCGCATTTTTCTGATTATTTTTGAAATGACTCGGTCAATTTGATTTGCTTTCTTAATTCAATGAAGATTTTAGTAAGCCATTTCAAATGGTTTCAATTTCCTCACAGTGGCTTCGATGTCAATTTTTTGCAATGTTGTCATTTTCATTCAATCCTTAATAATCGATATAACGATGACATTCCGATAGCATTCAGTTGTTTAAACAGCTGTAAAGAAAATAAATTTAGTACATATTATTTTTAATTTTCGAAATTTATTGTTAAAGCAAAAGGCATGATTGTTTAGCATATGTATGTACATATGTCTATGTAATACATGATACGTTATATATTGTTCAAACGAATGTTTCATTGAAAAAATATCGTTATCAAAAAGGCAGCAAACTTTGTAACTAAACTTGCTAGTGTTTGCTTTCTTTTCTTTTAACATTCCCCGAATTCTTGTACAAATAATAATAACAAACAATACTAAAGCTAAAGTATAAATTTAGCAGCAATAATAACACAAACAAAAGCGCGCAATGGCTCAATGTAAATTAAGTCAAGCTTGAGATCATTGTGGAAGTCAATAAAATAATGAGAGATCAATTTCAATTCGATGGAAAAATAATAAATAAGCGATATACACATACACACATACATATGTATGCAGATATTTGCCAACAACATTGTACGTATATTCGAAAAAAAACTAAAAACAAACAATAGCAAGTGCAAAAGTCCATAGAACATATAACCAAATGGTGGTATGGAGAACAACCAGAAGAACAGCACGTTAGAATAATAAACACCGAACACAATCAAAATAAATAAGATCAATGCACTTGACGCGGTCGAAATAATTTGCAAATTAAAAGCTTAATGGCGCACATTCTTCAATACCAAGAAATACATATACACACATACATATGTATGTGATATGAGTGATTTCCGATGGAGTTTCAAAGAATGTTTAATAAAGACGTTTAATAAAGATGAACACACGAAACAGCTGATCAAGCCCAGTTACCTAATTGACAACTGCCAATTTTTGACAAAGTAAAATGTATACTTTAATTGGCAATAAGAAATGTTTGCATTTATAAAAAGACTAATAAAATACAAATAATAATGCAAAACAAACAGCTGTTGAAGCAGTCTGCGAATTCGATATTAGCCTGTAAATAGAATAGAAACCTTAACGAAAACGTTGACAGTTAAATAGCGAACGCTTACAAAACTGGTGGGACTCTAAGGAATAGGAGGATACTTAAGGCAACTAATCTCTTATTTCTAAAATTTTCTAATTTTCCCATTTATTGGACTGTTTATATAGGTAAAATGCTTAACTATGGCCTTGTGTGCAACGTAAAACATTTTTTCTTCCATTCAATACGAATACAAGTCGATGCGTCCGTTCATTTTCAAAATGCTTAACCAGTATAATGCATGTATTTCTTACAGCTACTAACTCATTATTTACTAACGTTCACATACGTTTTCCCGCCGTAAATCAATTATGGTGTTTCTAATGATTCGCTTAAAACATTATTGTAAATGTATTTGATGTTTTTCCCATATCGGCTATTGCAGCCGATTTAGTTTTCATCTCTTCATTTTTGCTTTATGCTAGTTTCGTTCGCAGCATCCATTTAGGGCAATGCCTACTTGCGGTGACTGTTGGTTCGGTCAGCCTTTCTAAAAAAGGTAAAAACTTATTTTACACTGCTCTGTTGCTAGTTCGCTTAATTTGGCGATTCGCTTAGCATTCTTGTCGTTTTGCGTCTTCTATGGACCGCCCGCTTCTGTCATTGCATATTTCCGCGTGTCAGCCACCTTTGGAATACTATCTAATGCTTTGTACGCTTCTGTTGCCGCTCGCTTGCTAATCATTTTTATTTTAGTTTTTTTTGTCTTTTGGTCTGTGAACTTGTTGCCGACGATTGACATTTATAATTAATAATTCCAATTTTAATTTGCTTCATGTTGCTTAATCATAAGATACAAAATATATACATACATACATATGGATATTTTCTTCTATTCATACATATCTACAAATATAAACAGTGCCACAACTTACACGTAAGTTAAGCTAATTAAATAAACCTTAATTGTGTAGGTAATGAGCTGATATCTCACGAGTTTTTGATTTTTTCATCGCAAGAATAAGGCAATTTCTATGACAGCTATGATATAATGAATCGATTTCAGTGGTTCCAACATATAAGAAGCAGTTGGGGAGAAAAGGACGCATGTAAAATTTCAGACCAATATCTCACAAACTTAGAGACTAGCTCACGTACATATACATATGTATGTATACTACGAGACCGACAAACGAACATACATAGCTAATTTGGCTCAGCTCGCTACGCTAACTATTTAGGTTAGGTTAGGGTTTCCGACATTTTCTCTGGGTGTTACAAACTTCGTAAGGCATATAAGCATATTAACAATATCGCCAGTAAGAAAAAATTCGTTGTACATCCATATATTGATATATAATAAGGTGGATAAATCCAACTATATTATTATTTTCCTTTTAGTCTAGGTTCTAAAATGTCATTTTAAGATCTTTGCAATATTTTAGAGCCTTAAAATCTGTAGCCTATGCTAGTGTGATACTTTGTAATTATAATTTTTTTTAGCAATTTTTTAAATATTATTTTTTTTAATTTTCCGTTTGCTCACGTCACATTCTGTTTCATGACACTCTTGTTTTATTTTTATATTTCGCCTACGTTAACCAAAAATTCAACTCACCACACTTTCATCACCGCGACATTTTTATGTGAAATTAGTTCTTATTTTCTCTACACTTTCATTCACTTCGCCATTTCGATATCCTAACTTTCGCTTATTGAATTTAATGTTCTAACAAAAATATTTGCTTTTAAGTTCGCGCAGTGAAATAAATAGAAAGCCATTATAATACATAAATACATACTACATAACATATACATATACATATACAGAAGTATAATTCTTGAATTGCGCACAGAAGTAACAGGAGACCAACCCCACCTCCTCTTTTACCCGTGACCTTTTAATACACGCTAACTAAAGAAAATAAAAATTGCAAAAGCAAACGTGTGAACGAACCAAATGGTGTTTATTGTGGATACAAGGCAGACGTAGCGACGTTAGCGGCCGCGTAAACCTGTAGCATTTTTTTCTTTTCAACCAAATATGCACAACAAACTTGTGTACATAAATATTTGTATATATGTATGTATGTATGGATATAAATATGTATGCGTATAATTTTTGTTCTTGTTTTTATTACGACTTTATTTCATTATTTTTATTTTGCAGTTATTTCTCGCGCCATCAATATGTTTGGTTATTGTACGCGTGTATTGTTGCATTTGTTGTAGGTAGATGTTTTTATTACTATTCATTTCGTTTTTGGTCGTTTTGTGGCGCGTTTTGCCTCGGCTTGCCCCGCATTGGTGCTACGTTGTCTGCGACGACTAATTAGGTAACCGAGTATTTACAAGAACAACATCAACGTGTACAATAATAGCAACAATAATAAAATGAAACAACAACGTCATAACATCAACTAGCTCATGATAGCCACGACGACGACAACAGCAGCAACGAGAACAACTGCAACAACAGCGCACTCTACGTAATACCACTTTATTTGTTTAACGTATTTACCTCTGTATGCACACATTTAGGAACGTCTGTGGTATGGAGTGGAGAATACGAACAGTTGTGCTCGTAAAAAGGATAGCGTCTTGACCTTATCACATTTTGTAAATAGATGCGAGCATAGTATGTTAAATTCTTATCAAGAAAATGTTTAGTGATACAGACAATGTAGTACATAAAATGTTATCTCATCTGTTAAATATCATAATAGCGTTACTTCTTCAATTGATGTTTAAGAAAAAATATACAAAATGTTTTTTGTCTAACTATCGATCTTGCGCCTTATCACTTTATAGAGTTTTACGAACATTTGTGCATTTGTGTAAAAATCGTTCTGAAAGATTTATTCTCATAAAAACAATATTAGATAACAATAAAAAATTATAAGTAAGTATAGTGCATATAACAGTGTCCTAGTTCGTTCCCACGATAGTCGGCTCTAAGTAACCGGAACCGACCCGGATTGTTATTCGGCCAAGGACTGTCAACGCGGCGTCATTCCTTGAAAATATTTCAGCAATGTTTTTCACTGATACAACAACAACAGAGTATTCTAGTCAAAAAATTAAAAAAAATTAAATAAATGGGGGAAAAAATAGTAAGACCTTTAAATTTAAATTTCGCGCAAAATATATTATATATTTTTTTGGTATAACTGTCAGTGACATCTGTGCCAAATCTCACATTAAAATAATCATTGCTGTTTAGTATACGCTTATCCTTTTGGAAGTCCATAAAGTGCATTCGGCGACTTTTACGATGAGTGAAATTATTCACAAAAGAAATTTCATTAAATTTTTGCGCGGAAGACGCAGAACGGTCAACAAGATCAACACGTCAATAAAATAAAGGAATTGGTGCTTGAGAATCGACGATTAAAAGTCAAAGATCTTAATAGCATCGGAATATCGGAAGGATCAGTGAAAACCATTTTGAGATCCTTAGGACCGGCCAAACTTTCAACACGGAATACCATTCGATACTATCCTTTAGAGAATATACATATAATAATTTATAAAACGCTGCATTTTTTATTAACATCAGTGTAGTTGTATAGGTAGCAGCGTAAATAAAATAAAAAGCCATAAAAGTAAATAGCAAAACAAAATGGAACGGAATTGAAGGGAAATTAATACGAAGAGACAGGCATTTTAGATACAGAGATACAATACATACTTTAAATACACATGTAAGCACTGAAACACACTTGCACACATGCACGCACAGAATACCTACTATACATAAAACGTAAGAACACACATGAGCAGCACTTGGATAAACCATTACTGAATTGTTTGTGCATGTAAGCGACATTGTTGGTCGTGAAATTGAGTCTTCATCTCAGAGTAGGATTTTATGAAATTATCGTTAATAACAAAAGTCAGCGCGGAATCTATAATTAAATATTGAGAGAGAGTTTATTTTGAGACATATTGTTTAAAGTTTTTGACGCATCTGCTGCAGAAGTTAAAAATTGAAATGATCGAGATGGTCAGCAATTTGCATTAATATCATCCTGTTACGACACAGGATGCATAAGCTTGTTTACTTTTACAATGGAAGGC